CGCCGCGCTCGTCCCCCCCAACGCCGGGCCCGGGGCTGCGCGAGGCGCCCCCGACCCTTCCCCGTCGCTCCCCTCACCTCCAGCCCGTTTGCACCGCTGGCTTTATTTATTAGCCGGCGGGCTCCCCGTGGCCCCGCACCCCTTTATTTATTCTTGGAATGGCTAAAGCCTGTATTTATGCAGGGTTGCATGTATATATATATGTATATACCTCTCTCTCTATACATTTACTCGTATGCCCCTAGCAGCGCATGCAGCCAAAGCGGGCGCAGGCCACTACAGTCGTGCCGCGAGGGGCCGAGGTGCATTTTTTTGCATCGCAACTCCTTCGATTGCCTTGATGCAACCTTGCTAGGTCTTCGTCTCGTTCATTTGGGGGAAGGAAAAAGGAAAAAACAAAATCACATTAAAAGAGCTGTGTGCGACGCTGGCTGATAAACAGGAGCCTTTGGGTTGGAAGGTGGGAAAAAAAGACGCCGCCGGTACCTTGTAACCGGGCCGCGCGGAGGGCGGTGGAGCTCTGCTCCTTCCCCGCTTCCTTGTCTTTCCCTCAGCCGGACGGGGAGGGAAGCAGAGAGCCCAAAGGACGCGGCACCCCAAGGTTTGTCCCCCCCCTTCACTAACCACACACAGGTCACACCATCTTCTTTTGGTGTGTGGGAGGGGGCAACATACCATAAAATATATATAGAGAGAGAGAGAGTTTGGTGTGGATTTTATTTTATTTTACTTTTTTTTTTTTACATTGTTAGAGTTCCAGAAAAAACCAACAAAATTAATAAATATTAAAAATTAAAAAAAGCTCTGAATCTCGTATGTACAAGACTTTCTCCCCGTTCACGCGCCGAGCCCTGCCTCTCTCCGTCCGAGCCCTCCTGCCCGCTCCCGGGGCGGGCAGATGGCCTACAACCAAGCGAAACACACGGGATGTGGCCCTTCTAAAGTGCTGTGCAAACAAACGTACAAGTGCCGGGCACAACGTCACGTGATGGCTTTACCCTTCCCACGCGACAAGAAAGCAGATCGGCTGCTTCCAGCTGTCCCAGACCAACCTTCCTCTCTCCTGCCTTTGCAACCGCTCGCACAACCCCTTCCTGCTACTTTTCTTGAAGCCAAAACCAAGCAGCTTCACCAGTCTGGCTTGCTCTAGCCCCTGTAGTCGTGTTCCTGGCACGTTTGTCTCCCCCCTTTGGCCCTGAAACACGTTGATACCCTAGAGACACCCGGCAAAGAGCTACGCAGCAGGTAGAACAAGAGTACGGCAGTCAGGGTGGTGGGACTGGGGACGCTGCAACGTGACGCTAGTTCAAAGGCGACCAAGAGCGGCAGAGGCTGCAAAGCCACCGCGGCACGACAGGCATTTCTAAAACGCGTTGGTGGCCTCTGATCATGTTCTTACTGCTCGCGTTACAGCTGGTCCTCACATAACAAGCCTCAGGAGAGAGGTTTGCGAGCTGGAGAGAGGCAAGGACCCTGGAGCGCCGTGGAGATGATGGCCAGCTCCACTAACATCACCGACCGCTGCGAGCGGCACCTTTCCTCAAGCCAGGATACATCTCATCAAGGGGCCCAGAAGGAGCCCTTGAAGCCCTCGGCCCAACACGCCTTGCTGCAACGCACAACACAACCGGAAACCGATACCCAACACGAACATCTCCGCTAGCTCAGTCACCGCTCCGGAGAGGAGCTCAGGGACGTGGGGCAGCGAGGGCAGGCAGAGCTCATTCGAGTGCACCTACGGACTCAGGCATGCACACCCCGGGCATATCGGGCACCGTCTACTGACACGACAGCAACACGCAGGCGGCACCCAGGTCACCTCCGTCCTCACCACGCAACGCCGGAGAGACGCCAGTCCGCCGCTTTGGTCCTTTGGGCTCCCCTCAGCCACGTTCTCCAGGCTCCCTGCTCCAACGGGGAGCAGCAGCGCGGGCATCTTCCGACACTGTCCTCTGCTTGGCTGGCCCAATTATTTTCTTCTCCCCCACCCTGAAGCCTCCAGCCCCAGCTGGCTCACGGCGGCATCCACGCGGAGCGGTGGCCGGGCGAGGGCTGGACCGCAGGGCCGAGATCCTTTCTGTTGCGTTTTGCGTTATTGCTTGGGGGAGGAAGGAGGGAGGTGAGGGAAGAGCAAGAACAACCACCCCATCGTGTAGCACCTTGGTGGTGGGAGGCGGGGGGGGGGGGGAGGGGACGCG